TGTCGACAACATCTCCGTTGTCAGACAACCTACGACCTGTAACCCCTGACACCTGCTTTTTGCTACGCCACGCATTACAGACAGAAACCACGAACAAAATTGTTGCCGCGGCAATAATGGCGGCCAATGGAAGTAGGAGCGGCAACTTCTGCACCCGTGAACGGAACCGAGCACCTTGAACGGCATACGGTGTTGAAATTCCTAATGAATCTTCAGTTTCTTCATTCTGTGTAAGTGGAACGGAAAATTTCGCCGTCGTTCCATTCTGCTCCCTTCGAGGCTGCTGTTTGGTTTCCAAGACTGTGGGCAGCATTCCAGAGTCGAGGGAATGGTTCGTGGATGGATGGAGGCAGAGGTAGAGAAATGATTTTATTTGTTACATTTTCTACATCGTACTGCAAAGGAAATGGCAATGTGGAAGACTAGCGTAGTCGTACAAGAGACGGCCAGCACGTTCCGGTCCGCTACCCCTTGGTGCTCTGTGACACACCGTTCCGAAATTGCCATGCGACCAGATGCTTATAGCAGAGAAAACCGGCAAATCCGAGGCAGAATTGTGCAAAAAGCTCGTTTAATGCTATTAATTTTCCCTTCAGGTAATCAAGTACCATTTAGAACGATGTGGCAGGCAGTGGCAGAATAGGCAAGTTGCAATGCTAGTATCGACGCGACGGCTCTCTGTAGGGAACAGCGTCCCTTGCTACTCTGGACCCTATGTATACCTATTTTGTATTGTATTTGTTATATTTCAGCTAATTTAGGGCTCTCGAGATTCCACTTAAGCTCCATTGTAGTGCCTGTGTTCTGCAACTTCCCCCCTCCTCGGATTGAACCGGCGCCCCTAGATTGGTTAGACCCGCCTCCTTATTTCTCTATTCTTCTTCTACCTGCATCTTTGTGTCCGCATTGGGTTTTTCCACGGCTCTATTGTTACGGGTTTATCTACGTTATCGCCTAGCCAGCCGTTCTACTTGGGAGTGCTTCCTGCCTTTCGAACAAACGTCGATCCTCATTTGGCGAACAGCATATATGTGCCCTCTCGTCCACATATCCTGTTCCTCGGCCTGGATCTCTACTTGCCTTCCCTTTTGCCTCGGGATACTCCCAGGACTGTGTGGGTTTCTGTTTTGCCGCGATCTGCTTTGCTTTGTTGTGCTGTGCTTTGGTTGCAGCTAATTCCGAAAGTCAGAGCTCTTTTAGAGTCTGGAACGGCCGTTGTTTGTTGTGGAATGCTATTCTTTTTGTGCGTTGTGTTCTTCCTCTAGGGCCAGCGCTTGTTCTCCCGTGTTGCGATGAGTGTGTTTGCTGCTTAGGGCTTCTCTCTCTTTTATCTACTGGCGTCTTCTCTAATCATCTCGGCTTATTCATTGGATTGTTTCTGGCTGTATGGTATCTAGTTCTGCTACTGTGCCTCCGAGTTTGTGCCAGTGCCGCGGTTACTCCGTCGTCTGCGCTGCTCAATCTACGAGCTATGAGATAGGTTCTATCTTGCATTCAACTTTCACTCCCAACGGCGGTGTTGGCTTGCTCGAATGTCTGCTAATTTCTCGACTGCTCTGAAATATTCCTCTAAAGTCATTTATTGTTTTCAAGCTCTCATTTCATTGTTTTTTCATCTATTTTGGTGGTTGGAACTGTGTGTTTCTAACACGCACTCTCTCTTAGGCGAGAGTGGTCCGCCGTATGAGTGTTATAGCTAGGGCGACTCCTAGAGTTGCTCTCATCATGAATATTTCTATTTATTTTCATTTTTAGTAGTGTTAATAACGAATATAATACGAATGTGCATAGTATGCCTTCCTCCTTGAGCTTAATGCTATTCCTTAGTTATTAGCTTTGTTTGCTATCGGCGTAACAATCATCACCATCATTCTAATTGGCCCTAATAACTGTGCTACTCTGATTGCTTGTGTTGTAGTGCCTAATGCAATTTTTAAAACTAATTTATTACTATTCCCGCTTTTTAAACTGGTGTTATTTCAATGATTGTGCATAGTGCCTCTACTCCGCTAACTGATGAAACTGATACGGTCACTAAGGTACTCAGGGTTCCTGTACGTCGTGTCAGCTCCCTTCGCTGATTCGCTCCTATCTATCACCTTAGTTACTCGGACTTTACTCGCTTTAGTCTTCATACTATTGGTGTCTTACTGTAGATACCATTATTACTAGGTTCATGTGTGTATGTTCACTATCCTGGGGTCGGTGTTTACTTTGTATGCAAATCACTGGGTGCGCACGTGGCTACTCTTGTATCGTGCAGCATCACGTGTGACTGACCCGAACACTAACGCATTAATCATGGAGAAGAGATGCAAGTGTGCATGCTGGTGCACTTGCATGCTCCCCACCCTTCTCAGCGCGAAATACCGCCATTTTCCGGCTGTCTGTACTAACGTACGAACAGAACTGCTGACCAAGTAGCAGAGAAACCAAAAATGAAACAAAGTACAATGTCGTGGCTTAGAACGACGGATTTTTCACAAAGAACCCTCAGATCATTAAGACCTATGTCCTTGCAAAAAATTCCCTTTAGCTCTAAAAGACTCTAATCATTTTTTGATGGAAACAAATATATAGTCCTATTTCTACAAAATGTTTAGAACCCCAGCACCTGTTTCAAGTGCTTCTGGGTCTGCGAAAACGTTCCACTGCAGACGCAGTGAGCATCACCGAAGAAGTGCACGATGCGCTTAATTACAAACGCCCCATCCCTGTCGGTGTGGAGGTGGTAAGCTCATCTGCGCTGTCGCACAGCTTCGTCACACATTGCCTAGCACAGCGCAACGTAGTAGACGAACCAAAGTACACGACAACGCAAACAANCGTCACACATTGCCTAGCACAGCGCAACGTAGTAGACGAACCAAAGTACACGACAACGCAAACAAACATAGTGATTCTCAGAGGCAAAGTTTCGGTGTGCGTTAAACCCTGCGCACACCAGACTGCAATGGCTTGGCGGTACAAAAACGAACTCTGCCTGAAGATACTAAAACAGCTTTTCTCGAGCATTATGGCCGTTTTAGTTGCACAACTTTGTGCCATTGCCCTCCCTCTACACTAAACCAGTCGAGGTTGGCAAACCAGCGGATCAGCGCCCGGATGTGCTTCCTTACGCGGCAAAACATGGGCTGTAATTGGCGTTCCGGTCGCCCCAATTTGAACGCATAGAGGAGAGACATACGCCCCGTTCTAAGGGCCTTTTGCATCCTCGCGCCAAGGATCCCATTTGTGATCTTTGAGGCGTCCAGGAGCATCTTTATGAGCAAATAGCATAGTTTTCAGTGCAATGACTTCAGGAAGTGGTGGGCGTTTGCCTCTCTTGTAGATTTCCAGCGCACCTAATAGACGGCGTATCATCATCCTGTAAATCCCCTCAGGTTTCGGACTTCCGTATGGCAATAGGTGAGAAGGACTATGGTCAAAGGCAGCTACGTATTGATTCCACCACAAGGGAAGCTGCATCTTGTCCCCCAAAAGTTGGATGCCACACACAATCGCGTCAAACGCCAACAAATGTCTTCCAAGAGTTTCGGCGGCGTACACAGGTCGACGCTTAGGCTTGCTCAGCTCTGCCTGACGCCACGACATGCCTATCAGCTTCTCTAATTCCATCACGAGGCTGTTCACTTCTTCCTGGCTGAGCACTGACTGTGCAAATAATTCTCTCAATCTGACCAGACAAGAATAGGGCTGGATTCTCATGTGATATCCAAGAAATATATTTCTCATAGCAAGAGGTCTAATGACCACACCTTCCGGCAGCTGTGGAAGCCTCACAAATGGGTGGCGGCTAATAGGCGATGACGGATCTGCTGATGGACGCAGCAGCAGCATTTCCAGAGTTGATACCTGTTTATCATCCGCCTTGACAGCCTCGGAAGATGCAGGCTGGGCCTTCTCCTCATCTTCTGTTTTGCCAGATGCATCTGGAATCTCCTCTAACCACGCCTCCGGGTCTAGGGCATGGGCTGCAGGCAAAGGATCCTGACTCACAGGAGATGCAACCGATGGACCAGCACCTATATCTACCGCTCCACCTTCTTG